CGAGAGCCTGCCGAGCGGCGCCTCGCTGCGCACGCACATGGCGGCCGGCGCCGTGGCCGGCATCATGGAGCACACGGTCATGTACCCGGTGGACTCGGTCAAGGTGCGCGGCGGGAGCGCGCGGCGCGGCGGGGGCTGCGCGGGCACCGGCGCCGTCCCGGGGCGCCCCCGGCGGAGGCGGCGGGACGCGGCTCCCGCGGGCTCCGTTGCACCGGGGCGGCCGCGGCGGCAGCGGGGAGTGCCCGGACGGGGCGTTTCCTGCGGGGAAATGGGCACGGAGGGCGGGAAGCGAGAGCGGTGCCCGGTGCCGAGCGGTGAACGAACGTCCCGTCCGGAGCACCGCGGGGGCCCGGTGCTGTGCGGGACGGGACACGCTGCCGCTAGTGACCATGCGCGGGGACCGTTCTGCTCCCCGAACCGAGCAGATGCTGGCAGCCTGCATGGGGCACGTGGCGTTCCCACCGGGAAGTGCCGTTCCTGCTGGGAGGCAGCATTCCCGGCTGCCTGCCTCACTGCTAAGTGGAAACCTGTTTTGCTCCAGAGAATGATTTCTTCCCAAAATGAAACTGAAAACGGAGCGGTTTGGGGAATTGGTGGCTGGCCGGTGTCCCGGAACGACGGGGCCACCCGCAGCGCCCGGGACCTGGCGCCCGCCCGGCTCCCCGCTCGTCCCGGCATCCCCTCCAGGAGCAGCGCGGCCAGCGGAGCATCCACCGGCCGCGCGGGAAGGGCCTCGGCTTGATGGAATCGCCGCGTTCGTGCCGGTGCCGTGAGGCTTCCCGTGCCGGCGGCTCCGCACGTGTCCGGGCTGCGCGGGGGCTCTGCCGTTAGCCGCCTCCCGCCACCCTCCGCGTTGCCTTTCCCAGCCTTGGGCTCCGTTTCCAGCGCCGCCGCCGGCTGCTGCACGCTCCCGAACAGGAAGCTTCGCTCCGGGCAGGCGAACGCCCTGGTTTTAATCCGATCTCCCCGGCGCGGAGGGCAAGTGGCCTTGGAGCCCGCGGTGCTCTCCAGGCGCGTCCCCGGCTCTGTCACCATCCCAATCCTGGCTTCCCTGCTGCGTTCCCGTGGGCCCGGACCCCTCAGCCCGGGTTCGCCCGGACCTCGCGCGGAGCCGGGTGCTGTTGTGGTGCCTTGGCAAGCGCCTCCCGTCCTATTTTTAGGAGCCTTGCTGCGAGTGCCATAACGTTTTGTGTCCTGCTTTGCTCCGCGCTCGCCGGTAGCTGGTTTTATTGCGCCAGGTTAAAGTCCTGGGTTCAGGCCGGGCACTCGGGGCGGCCGCGCCGCGGAGCTGCTCCGCTTCCAGGAACCCGGCATGCTCCAGGCGCCGGCCCCAGGCACCTTTATTGCCCCGGCGGCTCCGTGGTGCATCGATTCCCTCCTAATTGCGTGTGCCAAGGGCCGAGCTCCCTCCTGCGCGGAGGCGGCGGTGCCGGCGCTGCTGGGCGGCCGCTCTGCCCGCGGGTCCAAGGCCGGCAGCACCGGAGCGGAGCTGCTGCCACCTCCGTGCAAGAAAGACCTCCCGTGCCCGCCGGGAAGATGCTCCGTGGCCTCCGGAGGTGGCAGCCCGGCCGGGCTCTGCTCCCGGCAGGCGCCAGCTCCGTTGGGAGCCGCTTCCCGAGCTCCCCTTTGAGCAGCCTCGCTGCTCGAGCGAGTGGCCGAGCTCGGCGCGCCGAGCGTCCGCAGCGGGAACAAGCCGGGGCAGGGCGCAGGGCTGGCGAGCAAGGGCCAGTTAAGGCCTGACCTGTGTTTCTCACGTGCTCCTGTGAACGGCCCTTAGCTCCGTTCCCCTGCTTTCCATGCACAAATAAGGGCAGAGGTTGCGCTTCCCCAAGGAAACTTGCAAACTTGCCCTGTTTTGGTGTTGCAATAGAGCGCGGACTTAATCCTGTCCGTATGCCCAGAGGATCCTGGCAGCAGGTTGCATACACGGGTCCTGGGCATCCAGCAGGCCGGATCCGCTGCTCCAGGCCTCTGGGAATGCATTCTTCCTCACTCCGATGCGGAGCCCGCTTTAGGCTCGGGGAGCCTTGCAGCTCGGGCCCCTTGAACCCGCCTAACCGAGACCTCTCGCCCTGTGCTTCGTTGCAGACGAGGATGCAGAGCTTGCAGCCGGACCCCAAAGCCCAGTACCGGAGCGTGTACGAAGCCCTGAAGAAAATCATCCTGACGGAGGGAATCTGGAGGCCCTTACGCGGCATCAATGTCACCATGCTGGGCGCTGGCCCGGCCCATGCCATGTACTTTGCCTGCTACGAAAAACTGAAAAAGACTCTAAGCGAGACTATCCAGCACGGAGGAAACAGCCACTTGGCCAACGGTACTCTTGCTTTGCGCACAAAACGCTTGCCGTTAGCAGCCTGCCCCTTGCTTGCTGCACGCTTAGCCCGGCCTCGCTCGCCGCGCTCCTGGAAGACCCGCCGCAGGCTCCGCTTTCGGAGAGCGCGCCGCGGAGCAAGGCGGGGGGAAGCCAGGTACGGCCGCGGGGCCCCGCTGCTCCCCGGCGCCCTGTCCCGGGGCTGCCGAGCGCCCCGCGTCCCGCTTTGCTGCCGCGGGAGGCCCGCGTCGCAGTTGTGTTAGTGCTTGTGGGCCGTGCAGAGGGGAGAATTCGGGAGAATTCGGGAGAATTCAGTTTCTCCTGAATTCTGTGCACTTCTGGGCTTCGAGTGCACTTTTCTCCTCCACGGGGCTGCTGATGGGCCAGGGTGCCCAGCGCCTGAGTGGGTGAGAGGCTCTTGCAGCTCGTGGATGTTGGCTGGTTTTTCTGGGGTGCCTGGGGTGGTTTTTCTGGGCATGGTCAGGGGAAGGATGCTCTAACCTGGGATGGCACCATGCAAGAGCCTGGTCTAATCCCGACTCCTGTGCTGGCTCTTCTTGGAGAACGAGCTTTTTTTTTCCCTTGGAGATTTGGCTTCCACCAAGAAGGCAGCTTTTCCTTTAGGTGTTGTAACAGCACAAGCTCTCCAACGGGCCTGTCATAAAATGCACTGTGCAAAAGGCAGCTCGTGGTCTGTGAGGTGTCAGTAGGATGCCCGTTTGCAGCCGGTACCATTGCAGTGCCCAGTGTGCAAGGGCAGCGACTTCAGCTGACCCAGCCGAGGCTGAGGGCGCGATGCCGTTCCTGCTCGCCGCCCTTTCCTAGTGACGTGCTCCCCGCGTTTGCCTTTCAAGTAGCTACAGGCTCCCAGTGCCCGCGAGAAAGCCCAAGTGCTGCAATAATGAGCGAAATGACCCGAAGTCGCTCGGGCTGCAGAGCTGAAGCCGACATCAAAGGCCGGGGCGGCGCCGCAGCGGCCCGTCCTCGTGCGGGATCGCTCCCGGCTCGCTTGCCAATTAGCGCCAGAAGGAGCCTGAGTCAATGGAGAAAAATGCGTAATTAGGGCAGCTTTCAGCCTGGCTGCCTGCTCGGTGCGCAGCAAGCCGCGCTGGCTGGAGGAGGAGCCGGCTGGTGGCATCGGCCCCTTGGCACGCGGCCACCCCGGGGTGCCCTGGCCGTGGCGGCACCCGAGCCGCGCGGTGAGGGCTGCTCTTGTGTCTTGCAGGTGTAGCCGGGAGCGTGGCCACGCTGCTGCACGACGCAGTCATGAATCCGGCTGAAGGTAAATGCGGCTGCGCAGGACGAGCACGGTTCAGCAGGAAAAGGCCTAAGCACAAAACGCCCCCAAAGCGAGGGCCGAGTAGCGGCCGCTCCAGCTGTTGAGTTACGCTGTACTCCAGAGCTTGACCCAACGCAAGCTGTTTTGGAAGGGAAAGAGCTCCCGTGTTTACAAAACCCTTTAAAAGTGAAGTTTGCCTAAGTGACCCTTGCGGGTGCAGGCTTGCCTAGGTGGCTTGGGGCAAGGTTCAGCGTGCTGGCGTGAGCAGTAAGGTGTGCCTTAACCAACGCGTTCTTATCTCCCTGCCTCTCCGGTGCCTCCTGGACCTCTCGTGGAGCAGTGGTGAAGCAGCGGATGCAGATGTTCAACTCCCCCTACAAGTCCGTCCTGGCGTGCGTAAGGACAGTGCAGAAGACGGAAGGGTTCGGTGCCTTCTACCGCAGCTACACCACGCAGCTCACCATGAACGTGCCCTTCCAGGCCATCCACTTCATCACCTACGAGTTCATGCAGGAGCAGATCAACCCGCGCCGCGAGTACAACCCGCGCTCGCACATCGTGTCCGGTGCCGTCGCGGGCGCCGTGGCCGCCGCCGCCACCACCCCGCTCGACGTCTGCAAGACGCTGCTCAACACGCAGGAGAACACGGCGCTCAGCTCGGTGAACATCAGCGGGCACCTCTCGGGCATGGTGAACGCCTTCAAGACTGTCTACCGGCTCGGCGGCATCCCCGGGTACTTCAAGGGGGTGCAGGCACGAGTCATCTACCAGATGCCTTCAACAGCCATTGCGTGGTCTGTGTACGAATTCTTCAAGTATTTCCTCACAAAGCACAAGTTGGAAAAACGCGCCGCCTTCTGAAGACGCTCCGTGCTCGGCGTCTCCGCTGGGAAACGCGCCGGGTCTCAGCAGGATCCGCAGCCGGAGACCCCGGACCCTCCAAGGAATGAGGGTTTAAGTGCTCCCCAGCCACGTGCTCCCTGTGGTGCCTGAACAACGACAGAGTTTATAAAGACTCGTAATAATATATATTTAATAATGTTATTTTGGAGAAGTGAAATTGCTAACTGGTATTTTTCTCTGAAGTGTAGTTTACTCCCTCACCAGAAGGCCTAGGTTACACCGTCTAAGCTGATCTTTTTTACAGCGAAGAAGCAAAATATCCCATCACAGAACTTTTATATAAAAATAGATGGATAATGTTTATCCTTTATTTTTCTATTATAGACATTTGGTTTGTTTTTTTTAAATACTATTACAGCTAGATGCTGAGCTGTTGAAAAAGGGCTAAATTCTTCCACAGTGTATAAAGAAGACATGAGAACATTTATTTTTATAGCCAGATGGGCTTGAATTACACAGCATTTATGCTCTGTACAGTGGCCTGGTTTCTCACATGCATGTCAAGGTACTTGGAAGGCCCTTGAGAAAAGAAGGAACAGGGGCAATACTTGACCTGGGAAGCCAGGAGATCAAGTGGAGCACTCAAAACAGCCAGTCCCTTTGGGGTGAAAAGGGGGAACTCCATCAATGCCACTTTTTTTCCTTGTTTGTTTAGCAAGGAAACTCTTAATGTAGATTTTACAGACTAGTTTTTTTTTTTTGTGAACGCTCTTTAAAGGTACATTTTTATGGTGTGTTTGTGTGTGTGTGCGTGTGTGTGATAGCTGCATAGGCTTCATCCTCTCTTAATTTATTCATGCTCTTAGGAAGAGAGCTCCTGCTCTCTGCCTGGCCCGGGGTCTCACGGGGGGCATCGAGCAGGCGGGAGCAGAGCCAAATGCTGCAACCTGGACCAAAACCTCCCCTTCAGCCACTCGCTCGTGTGAGGGGCAATTAATGACAAATTGGGTGGTTTTAGGGGCCCGCACAGAGGAATTGTAACTTGACAGCCCCCCACCTAGCACATCTTAATTCTCCCTGAAACTTAAGCTGCTGGTAACGGCTGATGCTTGAAAATAGTGGAAATCTGCCAAATTGCCTTAGGTTTTGCAGTGGCAGCTCCGCACTGATCCGGTCGCTTTGCCCCGTTGCTCGGAGCAGCGACGTCGGAGCCTTCCAAGGGCGGTGGGGCCGGTGCCTCATGGAAAGTGCCCTTTGCTGCTGCTTGATCCTGACATCAGCTTCCTGATGCCTTTTGTTGCTCAGCTCGAAGGAGCCTCTCGCCGCGTGGCCTTAGTCCCACGGGCAGCGCTCGTGGCCGTGGGAGATCTGCACCGGGCCGTCCTTTCCCATGGACTTGGAAACTGGAGGCACCCCTGTGGGAATGGGCGTGAGCTGGAGATCCCTGTTCCTATTGCTGCTCCCTGGGAATGGGCACTGTGGCCGGGAAGGGGCAGCCAGGTTTTCCTGACTGGAAACAGGAGCCCCTGGCCCAGATCTGCCCTGTTTTAGCTTCCTCACGTTACGGCCGGGGTTTATCCCGTCCCATGCATGGAAGGAGCGTGCGGAGCAGCGTGTCCCAGTCACTCTGTCCCGCTGGGGGGTTGCCTGGGCTTTCCTGTGTTTTCTGAAATGCTTATTTACCAGCGCGGGGGCCTGTTTGAGAAATGCTGCTGCAGTTGTGCCACTGGAGCTCGAGGAAATAAAAGAATTGCGAGGTTTCTGCTCGGAGGCGTGTGTGGCTTTCCTGGCTGGCAGCGGCGGGATGGGACGTGGTGGGGCCGGTGCCTGTGGCCCTCGTGTCCCACCGGAGCCGGGTGTCCCTCCGGATCGTGGTACCTTCTATGGTGCAGCTGCCCTCCTGCTGAGGGATTCCCGGTGTTCCAGGTGCCCTTTGCAGAGGGATCCTCCCGCTCCTGGCTCCAGAGGGGCCTGTTTTCCACGAAGGGACTGTCTTGCTCCATGTGCATCCTTCCTGCATCCCGGCAGGCGCTCGGTGCAGAGCCCTGGGGAGCTGCTCCAGGCCGGGGCGCACAGGGAGGAACCCCGGGAAGGAGGAATGCGGATGGATGGGGCTGGGTCCCCGCAGCGAGGGGGTCCCTGGGCAGCAAGGGGTGGGCGGCAGGGCCCGGAGCGCGGGATGGGCATGGAGCGTGGGATGGCCCGGGAGCGACTGCGAGTGTCCCTGTGTCTGTGCAAATGTCCTTGCATCCTTGCGAGTGTCCCGGTGTCCGTGTGAATGTCCCAGTGTCCGTGCGAATATCCCAGTATCCGTGCGAGTGTCCCAGTGTCCCTGTGTCCATGCGAGTGTCCTGGTGTCTGTGCGAGTGTCCCAGTGTCCATGCAAATGTCCGTGTGTCCTTGCAAGTGTCCCCGTGTCCGTGTGAGTGTCCCCATGTCCTGTTGTCTGTGCGAGTGTCCTGTGTCCGTGCGAATGTCCCGGCGTCCGTGCAAGTGTCCCAGTGTTCGTGCGAGTGTCCCAGTGTCCCCATGTCCATGCGAGTGTCCTGGTGTCTGTGCGAGTGTCCCAGTGTCCGTGCAAATGTTCCGGTGTCCGTGCGAGTGTCCCAGTGTCCCGATGTCCGTGCGAAAGTCCCAGTGTCCGTGCAAATGTCCTTGCATCCATGCGAGTGTCCCAGTGTCCGTGCGAGTGTCCGGGTGTCCCCATGCCCGTGCGAGTGTCCCGGTGTCCGTGCGTGTCCGGGGAGGAGCCCGGGCTCGGGCCGGCCGCACGGAGCCCGTTCGGCCGCTGCAGTGCCGCCGGGCCCCGCACGGTGTCGCTGGGCCCCGCACGGTGCCGCCGGGCCCCGCACGGTGCCGCCGGGCCCCGCACGGTGCCGCGGTCCCGTCCAGCGGTCCCGGGCTGCCCCCGGCGCCGCCGCCACGAGGCGGCTCCTCTCCGGCCGCGGGGCTCGACCCGCTGCGACCGGAGCAGCGCGATCCCGTCGCCATCGCCAGCGCCTTCCCGCCCCCAGGATATTCCCGTCCCCATTCCCAGCACATCCCCATCCTCATCCCCAGTGCCTTCCCGCCCCCAGGATATTCCCGTCCCCATTCCCAGCACATCCCCCGTCCTCATCCCCAGCACGTTCCCGTCCCCATCCCCGGCATGTCCCCATTCCTATCCCCAGAATGTTCCTGTTCCCATGCCCAACACATTTCTGTCCCCATCCCTAGTGTGTTCCCGTTCCCACCCTCATCTCCCATTCCCGTGTATTCACGTCCTCATCTCCAGAATGTGCCTATCCCCATTCCCAGCCCCATCCCCATCGCGTTCCCACCCCCCCCCCAGCACATCCCCATTCCCAGCATGTTCTTGTCCCCATCATCATCCCCAGAATGTTCCCATCCTCAGCTCCATCCCCAGTGTGCTCATGTCCCCATTCCCAGAGTGTTCCCATCCCCTTCTGCAACAAATTCCCATCCTCAACATGTTCCCATCCACTTCCCTAGCACATTCCCATCCCTGTCCCCAGCCTGTTCCCATCCCCAGCTCATTCCCACCCCCATTACGTTCCCATCCCCATTCCAATGTGCAGGGCCACCAGTTCAGCGGAACCTCCTGCCCCATAGAAACCTTGGGGCAGCAGCCTCTGCCCCTCTGAGTGCTCCTGAGCCGAGGAGGGAATTCCTGACCTATTTTTTAGCCAAAGTTTCATCTTTCCCAAGTCCATCCTGAGCGATTTCTGTATCCGAGCCGCCTCCAGCACTACCACTAGAATCGGGAATTCTTTTAACCCTTTCCTTCCTTTCCCCCCAGCAAAGTTACAAGGATCGCAGTGCCCTGCTGCAACCTCCTGGCTTTAGGAGCCCGGCAGAGGCTCTGTGCACCCCTGCACAGGGACCCGGCGCTCCTGCTGTCCCCAAGGAGGGGTTTGTGCTGCGGAAAGGACCTTCTGGCCACGGCCGGGGGTCACGAGCGCCAGGGGCCGCGTGTCCCTGTCAGCGGGAGCCGGGCGCCGCTCCGGCCGTTGCCTTAATCCAGGATGCGGCTGTTTGCTCGCCGCCTCGCACGGCTCCCCACGCCCTTGATCCTCCTCAAATATTGTCTCTGCTCCGCGGGCAGGAGCGCCGGGAGGCCCCATGGAGCTTCCTGGGCTTCCCCGGCCTGCAGAGGGGTGAAGCCCTTTGCGCTGAGCCCCTGGTGCTGCCTCTGCACGGGTGTTTTGGGGACCTGGGCCCCCGTTTGGCACCCGCTGCCGTGCACAGAGTGACACGGTTGGCACCCACAGCAGCCGTTCTGCTCCCTTGTGGCTCTGCAGAAGTCTGGGGTGCTGCTCCTTGCAGCTCTTTTGCCCCAGAAATGATGGAAAAAGGGCCATTTCCCACCCACAACTCCATTCGTCGCAGGTCACGGCACAACCCCAACCCCGAGCACAAATCCGCAGTGGCCGCCGGCTCTTACAGGCAACACTGCGACTTTTATTGCAAGGGCCGACGCGCGCTCAGTGAAACAGTATCAAAAATATGTACAAAAATAGTGGCTGGGGGACGCGGGGCTGACCTTGCAGCAGCGCCAGGTGAGCGGTTTGGTGCAGATGCAGCCACAGGGTGTTGCATTCGTTGCAAGTCCTCGCAGGACGGGAGGACAAAGCAAAAATAAAAAGTAGCTGCAATCAAAGCGTCTCCCGGGGGCCTGTCCAGTGGCTCCGACGCTGCAGGGGACACGGGCACCCCGGGTGCGTTTGGCTCCCTGTCCATGCGGCGCCGTGAGCCCCTTGCAGGGCGGCGCGGGGGAGCTGCGGGAACCCTTATCTGCCGATAGCGGCGGCCTGGACACAAGGAGCGCTTGTTCCCTCCTTGGCAAGGCGCCCCGGCACAGGCAGTGGAGGCACCCGGATGCGCAGAGCTCGTCTGTCACCACGCTATTGTCCCCACCTCGCCTGCCCGGGAGAGGCGCAACGGCCTCCGGGGGTGCGCGGGCCCCCGCGGGTGCCCAACGCGCCTCCCGGCCACGGCGGCAACGGCACGGCCGCTTTGGGACCGTGGGTGCCCGAGCATCGTCTCCGCGGAGGCTTTCGTGCCGTCTCCTCCACGGGCCGCGGTGCTACCAGCCTGGGGGGCTCCAGGCGCGCAGGCAGTAGAGGCCGGGCGCGTAGAGGCCGGGGCGCGCGGGCTCGGCGGGCGCGCGGGCCCCGGGGCCGGGCGGCTTCGCCAGGCGCCGCAGCTCGGCCGCCAGCTCCTTCCTCTTGGTCTTGTAGCGGCGGTTCTGGAACCAGATCTTCACCTGGGTCTCGGTGAGCTGCAGGTGCCGGGCCAGGTGGGCCCGCTCGGGCGCCGACAGGTACTTCTGGTGGCTGAACGTGCGCTCCAGCTCCACGACCTGGCTGTGCGAGAAGGCGGCGCGCGCGCGCTTGGGCGGCCGCCGCGGCGCTTGCGGGGGGACGGCGCCGCCGGGCGCGGGGGACTCGGCCGCCGCGGCGCCTGCGGGCGAAGAGCGAGAGACCCGGTGCAAACGGTGGCCCTGCCGCCAGCGCAGCGCTCGCAGCTCCCATGGGACTGCAGTCACACGCGGGTCACTGGGAGCATCCCGGCGAAGTCCCCCCTGTGCCGCAGAGGGTCCCAGACACCCTGAAACCCCCTTTCCAGCCCCAGTGCAGCCCGGGTGGCTGCTGGCGGTGCCGAGGGTCACTCCCCTGTCCCTTGAGCCCTGTAGGACAGGGTATTTCTGCCCTGGTCCCTGTGTGCCGCTCGCCTTGCTGGGGAGCAGCCCAGGCTCTTCCTTAGCCTTTCTCAATGTCTTTTCTTAAGTCGCAGCTCAACAGGCTGAGTCTCCACCGTGCCCGGACGCTGCAATCCCGGCACTGCCTCTGCCAGGGCCGCCCAGGGCCGCCCGCACGGAGCCTCTTGCAACAGACCGTCCTGGAAATAACTGCATCCCTGGCCTGGGTAAACCCGGGATCCGGCCCGGCTCCACTTGGGCTTTGGGTCCCCAGGAGGCACCAGCCGACCAGGTGCTCCCAACTCCTTTGAGTGCTGGTTCTGCTACAAAACTAGCCAATTGGGCAGTTTGGGCTGGAAAGGCTAATAAATCACGGGTAGGGTTTGCAGGGGACATCGTGGGCACCGGGGAGCACTCGAGGGAGCAGGGGCAGCTGCACGGGGCAGGTTTCAGGGGCTGGGACACGCGGGGGGACATCAGGGAGCCGCTTCCCGGCCGCCCTTACCTGCGCGGGGCGGCGATGGCTCCGGGGGCCGGGGGCTGCAGCCCGGAGCTGGGCACCGCTCGGGCCCCCCGGCCGCCCCCGGCTCCCCCTGGCTCTCGGGCGGCTCCCGCCGCTCCACTCCGTCCCGTAGGATGTCCTGGATGAGGAAGGATGTGAGGGGCCGGGAGAGGCCAGGAGGGCCCCGCGCGGGGCTGGTGCCGGGGTGCTGCACCCCGCGGCTGCCGCTCATCCTCCTGCTGCTCCCGCTCCCGCCCCGGCGGCGCTGGCCGCCCGCCCGCCCGCCCSCCCCGCGTTTATACGGCCGGCGGCCAAGCCTCCGGGGCCTGATTGGAGATCCCGCGGGAGCCGGCGGCGCGCGCCGCCCGCGGGGAGCGAGCCCACCGGGCTGCTCCGGCCGCGGCCCATGTCCGTGTCCTGCAGCCCATGGCCATGTCCGTGTCCTGCAACCCATGTTCCTATCCATGTCCTGCAGCCCTCGTCTTCATCCTGTCCTGCAGCTCCTGTCCCCATCTGCATCCCACAGCCCCGTGTCTTGCATTCCATGTCCCTGTCCCATGTCCCCACCTGTGTCCTGCAGCCCCTGCCCTATCCATGTCCTGCAGTCCTTGTCCCTGTCCTGTGTCCTGCAGCCCCTGTTCCCATCCAATGTCCTATGGCCTGTGTCCCCATCCTGCGTCCTTCATCCTATGTCCCCAACCCACATCCTGCAGCCCCATTCCACGTCCTGCATTCTCATCCCCATTCTGCATCCCACTTCCCCATCTTGCACCCTGCCTCCCTATCCCACATCCTTATGTCCCCATCTCACATTCTGCATCCCGTGGCCCAATTCCACGTCCTGCATCCCATCCTGCACCTTGCATCCCGCATCTTCGTCCCCAAGCTGCCTTCCGCATCCCGCATCCCGCATCCCCACCCCACATCCGCATCCCGCGTCCTGCATCCCCCATCCCCTGTCCCGCCGCGCTCCAGCTGCCCCCTAGCCTTGCAGCCCCCCAGACACTCGACCCTTCTCACACAGAAGTGCCTGCACCTGCAGCCTCCTTTGCTCCATCCAGAGGTTTGATGTCTTTGGAGCAGCCACTGAGCCAGGATTCCCACCCACGGAGCTGTTTTACCAGCGAGGAAACAACCACACGGCTCCAACCAGCCCCGTGAGCCGATGCCCTCCCTGGGCCACGGGCACCGCCTGGGCCCTTGCTCGGCTTGGAATCAGATTTGGGGGCTCAGGTGTGAATCGTGGCTGGGAAAAGTCCAGCCAGAGAGTGAGGGATGCATCAGGGGAGATGCATCTGTGGAGCTGTGTCCATGGAGCTGCGTCCATGGAGCTGCATCCATGGAGCTGCATCTGGGGAAGCTGCATCCACGGAGCTGCGTCTGTGGAGCCGAATCCACAGAGGTGCATCCATGGAGCTGCATCCACAGAGCTGTGTGCACAGAGCTGCACCCACGGAGCTGCCTCTGGGGAAGCTGCATCCCTGGAGCTGCAATCCCGGGCGTCTCGGAGCGCGCTGCACGGGTGCCGCCTGGCGCCCCACCGTGGCCGCTGCCCTCGGTGCAATGATCCCCGCGCCTCCCGCCCTGCCTTTGCCGCCGCTACCTTGCACCTTGCACCTCCCTCGGGCTCCGCAAGCGGCCCCCATGGGGCCCGATCGGTCCCCGCTCCCGGTGGAGCAGTGGGACAAGACCCCGGTGCAGGCGGCAGCGGGACGCGGGCGAGCGCAGAGCGACCCCCTTGCCCGGGGACCAGGGGCAACCGGGCTCGAAGAACGAGGCAGACGCAAGAAAAAACCTTAAATCTGACATTTTATTTCATTGCAGAAGAAAATCCAACATAGGCCTCGTTATGTTATGCATCTTTAATTATAAAAATAAGCAAAGAAAATAACTTGCATCTTTCTCATTACTATGATATGTTTCAAATAACCTTTATAGGAACACACCGAGCTTTAAAAATGTAATTTAAACAATAAATAATGACATATACCAGATATGCTCACTGTTTATTCCAGTACTCAGCAAAAACAAAAAAAAATTAAAAACAAAACAAAAAACACCTCTCCCCCCCCCCCCAGGTATCTTTAAATTATAAATACATAATGCAAATTTCTAATGGCACAAAACATGTAAAGTGCAAACAAACCACGATGAGAATCACGCAGCCGCGTCCCGTCCGCGGGGTTCGCGCCCCCTCGGGCTCCCCCTGCTCCCGCTCCTGACATTAGGCCGGGGGCTCGGGGAATTCCTTGCTGCTTTTGCCAAGGAAACGTCAAAACCAACAGAAATGGGTGTCCCGGGGAGCGGCTCGGGGCAGCGACACTCCCGCTGCAAACGTGGTGCGTTCACGCCGACGCCGGAGCAAAGCGCACCGGGGGAGCCGCTTCCCCATCTTCTTCCCATCCATGTTAAGGGAAAAAAAATAATAATAATAAAAAAGGGTTATATTCCCATGGGAAAAGCCATCGCTATGAAAACCCAAAGGGAGCCGGTTGGGCAGCCGTGGGTGCCGGGGCCGCGATGCGCCCCGGGAGCGCGCGGCGCCCGGCGCGACGGCGGGCGCTCAAACGCAGCGCACCGAGAGCCCCGGAACCTCCACTGTCAGCAACATGTTTTGCCGCTTACAATTTTATGACAGCACTTTTGGGCTACATTTAATGAAGACAGCAATATCAGAAACGCTGCCACTGCATCTGGTTTCAATGTATTAGCAGCAAGTTATTGTTTAAAGGCTTTGTGGTTTATAAAAGAGAAAAAAAATTCAGAAAGAAAAGATTATATTGCTTTAGGTTTTGCAAAGAAAAAGTAGATCCCTCCGCTATCAGCTCCGGACGGGGACAGTCCCTGCACCCGCCCCGCCTCGGGCAGCATCTCAACTCATTGCACCTGTGGAAAGAGAAGCTCCTTTCTGGCCCTGGCTGAACCACTTCTGCCTCTAGACACCTCTCTCCCATTATAGAAAAGGCCACAAAGTAGAAGGTGAACTTTGAATATGACAGAGATTATTTCCAGGAAAAAAAAAAAATAGCAAACTCACTTACAAAACTAAGTTTATGCAATAAAGTTATTATATTCTGCTGCTTTCCAGCAGACTCTCGTGGAATTTATGTACAGTACGTGACAGTTCTTCAAAACTATTTATACCACAGTCAGAGCAAGACCTTTAATACTCTAGTCTCAGGAAAGGGGTGGTGTGTGTTAGGTTTCTTTTAAAGCTTTAGGCAGTTAAATACAGTACGTAGATGTCAGCTTTTAAACACAACGCAGGACTGGGGAACCTTCGGGGAGGCGCAGCCACAGCCCAGCGCCTCCTCAGCGGCTCCGCACGGTGCAAAACGCTGCTGTGCGCGTTGGGCTGCAACCCGCTGCATGCCACGGGGCTGCAACGCGCTGCATGCCACGGGGCTGCAACGCGCTGCATGCAACCTGCTGCATGCGTGGGGCTGCAACCCGCTGCATGCAACCCGCTGCATGCAACCCGCTGCATGCCGTGGTGCTGCAACCTGCTGCGTGCCCCAGGGCTGCGACTGCTGCATGCCATGGGGCTGCAACCCGCTGCATGCAACCTGATGCAACCCGCTGCATGCCGTGGGGCTGCAACCCGCTGCATGCCACGGGCTGCGACTGCTGCATGCCATGGGGCTGCAACCCGCTGCATGCAACCTGATGCAACCCGCTGCATGCCATGGGGCTGCAACC